GCTGTCTCAGGTAACAGGCATCATCTCTGTGTCTAAGCAGGGCACAGGACTGCAGAGAGTTCACAGGGCTGGCAGCTTATGCCATGCTGGTGGATAAATGTCCACATGTCTTAAGGTTACTGTTGTTATGATGAAACCTGTAACCAAAAGCAAGTTGGGGAGGAAAGGGTTTATTTGACTTACGCTTCCATATCATAGTCTATCACTGAAAGAACTTAGGACAGGAACTTAAAAGCAGGGAGGGAACCTGGAGGTAGGAGCTGATGCAGAAATCATGAAGGGATGCTGCTTACTGGCTTGCTCCTCGTGGCTTGCTCAGCCTGATTTCTTAATAGAACCAATGACCACCAGACCAGGCATGGCACTACCCGCAATGGGATGGGCCCTCCCCCATCAATCACTAATTTGAAAAATGCCTTACAGCCAGATCTTATGGAGGCATTTTCTCATTTGAGGTTCCTCCTTTCAGATGACTCTAGCTTGTGTCAAGTTGCCATAAAACTAGTCCATCATACCAAATATCAGGATACATAAATCCCTGCAACCATATATATATATATATATATATATATATATATATATATATATATATGTATAAGACATGTATCACATATACATATACACATGTACATACATAACACCTAAACACACAAACATTGGACACTTGTTCACCCATATGTACAAATAAGCACATACACATAAGCACACATAGGTACATTCATACTTATGACATATATACAGTCACAGGGCACATATTAAATCTGTGTAACACTTTGTGCCATGCCATGATTTCCTCATTTTTTTAGAAGGTAAACAGGGTCTTACAGAAGCCTTGAGGAATGTCCAAGATCTGGAAGTTGTGACTTTGTTTAGCCACTTGGGCAATGTATTTTACACTGAACAAATTCAAGGAGACAGACATTGCTGGAAAAGCCTATACATCACATGCAGGGAAAGTTAGTAGAGAAGCCGTGGAAACCTATTAAGGAAAAATTTCTTCTGGTCAAGAGAATAGAATCTCTGACCTAGGTGAGGACCTAACAGTCTAGCTGGACTGGGTCAATCATGCGACCAAGGGACCACCCCTCAGGAAGAAGGGACCACCCTTAGGAAGACTGGCTCACTTTGAGCTATGCTACAGAAACAGAATAATGATTCATTAAGTAAGATGCTATGCTTTTCCTACCCAGAATTCCTGCCCCTTGAGTAGTCCTTACAAGCTACCACGAGGTTGCCATGATGTTTGTTGGATCTGCTCACCTTTCTTGGTGGTACAAGCTTTCCTTTTTTCTTTTGGATGCTGGCCAGGAAATAAGAATGTTCTTTCTCTAAAGTGTCCCCTTACCTCTTGCCATGTGGCTGAGTGGCATCAAATGATAGACCTCCATACTGAACTCAAAAGGCATGTCTTTCCTCCCTTTTCTCCTCTATTCTGCCAGCTACTGAGATCAACAGCTTGCCTGCCTTGGGGTGTTTCTCTTTTTAAATTCTAATAAAATTGTCAGTGAGCTTCCATTTGAGTCATTTCTTAAATTTGTTCATTGATAAGACTGAGAACCCCAAGAAAGGACCCAGATTTCCTCAGTCAGTCTGTGTCAATGTATGCTTTAAAGTGGTATTATTCCTTACAGAATTTATGTAAATGACAGTAATGGTGGCTGGCATTTGGAATGTGGTAGGATCACTAGACATCTGGAACCAATATTTTCCCATATACTTTGCTTCTAAAGGAATGACAATTGCCATTCTTATAGTCACATTCTCTGAGAGGAGCAGTTAAAAGACAGATGTCATTGAATTGAATGAAGTCTTGCACATAGACAACCATGTCCCTGAATATTCTTCCTGGCAAGGCCACCATGAATGACTCTTGTTCTCATGAAATTACCTACAGGGAGTTTGTAACTCAAGAATGGTTCCCCACAGCTGGGCTCAGTCAGAGTTCTGATCCCCACCTGTACTGGGACGCTAACACTCCAGAAGTAACCCTTAGCTCATGAGCTAGGGGAGGGAAAGGAAGAGACACCCAGGCCCTTTGGTCCTAACCAAGGCAGTTCTGCTCAGTTTTCTTGTTCATAGCCCAACTGTCCATCCACTGCTTCCCTTTGCTTTCTCACCAAATTTTCTCATGCCAATCTTTGCCGAAAGACCACTTTGGAAGAAGGCAAAGGATTACAATGTCTATGTGCAAATTAGAAAAAGATGCTGCCTCCCCCTCCTCCAGGCTGTTTTGCAAATGTTGGGCATGGACTTGAATCCCAATGCCTTTCTACTTTATCAGACCCTTTGTGCTGTGCACATCCTCCACCACTGCCCATGCAGACACGAGCGCCACAAACCTCACTTACTTCATGCAAAAATTAAATGAGCGGATGTATAAACACATAACCTATAGTTTGTATCACAGAGAGCCTTTCCTCCTTTCTTAATACCCTGTTACTACTTTGTCTCTTCATCCTAGTGAGGGACTTTGTGCAAAATGTGTCAGGAATGCTGATACCATGTTTCCATCACAATAATAAAAATCGATCACACATTACATACTAAGAATAACACAGTAGAAAGTCCAAGTCTCAGTTTTCTCCTTACAACTTCTAAGTTTGATTGGGTGAATGTGTTTGTGGCTTGCTTCAAGCACTAAGAATGTGCTCAGGTAGCCAGGGAAAAGACTCCTGGGATGACGACGCTGCTGCCGAGAGAAAGCCTGGCCTACACCTGCAGCTGCTGTGGCACCTCCTGCCATCCTCTCCCCTCCCCCAGAGGATGGCAGCCTCCTAGAAGCTGAGGGGAAAGATCACATGAGGACAAGGAGCTTTATCTGCACTGGTCTCCCAACTCACCTGCTTTACCTGATTTGACTTGTTAACTCAGTGAAACAAGTGTTTTGGCTAACATTTTGCCCCCAAATCAACCACTCACTTGGACAGCGTAGAAACACAGGCATTCTGTGACATAAGATCAGGGGGCTATGGTTCCAAGCTGGTGTGTGTTGAGGAGTCATGGTAAGAAGGTAATTTAAAGTTTGCTATCATTTTGAGGGGGCAGGGAATGATGTTTAAGCCTCTTATAGTTAAGATTGGGAAGGAAATTGACTGCTTGTCCTGGGTCCATCCCCCTGAAATGTGTTGCTGTTTGCGTATCTGTTTAAAATCTAGGAAAACCTGATGTCTGTCAAAAACAAAACAAGACAAAAATGTCTGCTTTTCATTCTGTTGCTTTCAGGGTTTTAGCCTTCACAAGCTGAATCTGTTCTCTGTGCAGAGGTGAGAACCCGAAAGTGGCCTCCACTGGGTAACAGGGAAGCCTAGGTGGGGGTGTTGCTGTGGGAGACCGTGAGGCCAGACAGCGGTTGCAGAGAGTTCTTCTGAGGATGAGTGATTGATGAGCGCAAGCTCACAGGCCCAGGAGTAAATGAGTCAGCCACAGGCACAGGAGCAATGAAACGGGGGTATTCTCTTGAACGCGTGCTTATTTTGGGACAGTGTGATGCTCTTCTCAGAGGGAGCAAATAAAGTGTTCGTGGAGGAGACCGGCTTACGTAACTCATTTCTAAAATAAGTGGATGAGGTCATCGAAGGAATCAACAGCTTAATTAAAGAAGTCAAACAGAATGGATGTAAACACAGCTGGCCCTTCTTCAACATGGACTAATGCTATCCTGAGCTTCACTACTTGTAAGCTGTGTGGATGTGAGTAAGCATTATGGACCTCAGTTTCTTTGAATATAAATGTAAGAGTTGTCCAAGGCAATGCTCTAGGCATTCTCCAAATCTAACATTCCTTAATTCTACCATCAATTAGCACTTCAGCAATGACTGTAATAACAATAGCAGCTAATATATAAGCCCCCGGGAGAATCTTTAAAAGATTATATCAAGACACATGATGTCAACAACTCCAAAGGAGGAGATTGCTCATTCTTGGCACTAGGGTTTTTATGTGTTAGCCTGTGGTGTCTAGCCAGGACACAGTTGACCCATTATAGAATAGTTACATTCTCTCTCTCTCTCTCTCTCTCTCTCTCTCTCTCTCTCTCTCTTCATATATATATATATATATATATTATACACATACACATATATAATATATCTGTGTGTTATATGTGTGTATGTATATATGCATCCATATGTATAGGTATGTCTGCATATGTACATATATGCAAATATGTATAGACATATATATGCATAAACACACAATACATATATTGAATATTGAAGCTTCTTCAGTAGTAGGCAGGTTCCCATTGGCTCCCATGTGAATTTTTCCAAAGGTCTTCGGAGATATTTATTTCTCCTTTAATATTTATTCCTCACCTCCTCTACCCTGTCCTTCCACCATCCACTCCAATTTAACCCTTCCTCTTTCAGATTTTTTGGTAATTGAGGTCCCTACACCCTCAAAAGTTACAAGCTATTGACAAAGATATTGATTACCATTCAGAATTTAATGTTAAGACCCTATTGATAAAGACACCACATACCTGAGTCATAGGATATGGAGAGATCAAGCTAGTATTGACCTAGAAGCGTTATCCCTATGGACTAGCTTTTACAGTACTAGTAGGTGATATGCCAGAGGAGAAAAGTAATTATAAATCTTACCTATCTACAATAAAAACTGGCCTGGCAAGACATACTCACTGGTGCAATATGTCAGGAACATCATGGTAGTAACCAAGCACTTCCTGACTTAAATCCTGCTTTGCAAGATGAAATCCATGCCTGGTACCATTGTTGGGCCAAGAACCTGTGGTAGACAGGTCCTAGCCCCTAGGGGAGAACCTACTACTACTATTCTGCTAATTGAACATATCTTTATACCCTAATGACTTATCTGTCATAGAGAATGACTCTTTCAATTATCATCAGAGAAATGTCTATTTGCAGTAAATAGTGATTAATAGAAAGGCCAATAACCAGCCAAGGTGCAGAAAATAAGAAACTGTGGAATGCTCAGACCAAAAATAAAATATCTATGTTTCATGTTCCCTCTCTTTCCAGGGCTCAGAGATCACTGCAGAAGAGGGGATGGGAAAGACTGTTAAGAGCCAGAAGTGGTAAGCAATACAAGAAAGCCTCTCCAGCCATCTACACATATGACCTCACCATGGTTATGACAGAATGTGTAAGTCCCTTGAAAGCTCAAGCCAGACCAAATCATAACATGAAGAGGGAAGGTAGACATTAAGTCCTATCCCTAGCTGAGGAGCTACTACCAATTGGTAGCTGCTGGGAGGGAAAGATTCAGTTTCTATGAGTGTCTCCACTGGGAAGTAGAACATGCTCTAGGGAAGGCCAGACATCTGATGGATATGGACAGCACAAATCGTATTCAACAGGTGAAAAAGGAGGACACAAAGTTGAGTAGATAGGGAAGGGATCTGGGAAAAGTTGGAGGAGGGGATTAATATGGTCAAAGCTCATTGTTTGAAATTACCAAAGAACTAATTTTTTAAAATGATGTCATTGTTTCCTTCAAGCAACTTCAGGATAAAGGTTGGACTAGCAAGGAGTTGGATTGGTTGGTGCCTCTGTGGGAAAGGAGTGGCTTATTCCAAATGGTTGAACTGGGAATCCTTAGTGTAGGCCTCAGCATGGGCATGTGGGCAGAGCAAAAGCAGCCAAGAGGGAAGGGCTGGTCCCCAGGGCTGGTGACAGTAACAGGGAGCTGAAGGAGGCATTGGGAGGAAATGAACAGCCTGGACAAGAGGATGGGACACCTGGCAAGAGTTGGCCACAGATGATCTCTGCCACCACTAGAACCAGAGAGAAGTTGGACATAAGTGGAATAAACTATGTGGCCTCCTACTTTCTCTTCCTGCCCCTACATCCTGCCACAGTCTCCCACTGCCTGAACATAGCCTTGGGGGCCAAGTGAGGGCAGAAGACTGGAAATAATTTGATCAATCTAACTGGGCCACTGACCGAACAGAGGGTCAGTAGCCCAGAAGGACGGGACTGCAGCAGGGCTCTCTGAGTGTCATCACCACACACCTCCTCACCAGGTCCAGCAGCAGCATAGGTGTTAAAAGCAAGACCACAGTGTAGTCTGATCACTAGAGTGTGGGAAATTCTGTTTCACTATCAGCCAGTGCCATGTGATTGTAGCTGTCAATGTGAATGTCATAACAATAACTCAACCTGTTTGCTAGCAGACTGACTGCATTTAAGCATCTGTCCACAGGGGACATGTCAGTGGGCCTCAGAGTTGAGGGAATGTGACGGGCTGTGGTAACGGAAGGACCGTGCATATATGGCTTGTCATAAATAATAGAATGATGTTTAACTTTGGAATGTAAATTCTAAGAAAGAGGCTAGCTGATATCTATAAACGCACAGGTGTGCACACAGTGAAGTTCTACATCTCACCAGTACACCCCTAACCCACACATCTCTCTCCATGAATCCACCACACATCTAACCCTGTGCTGATAACTATCCTCAGTCCATTATGCCTGGCGACTTCTTTCCTCTCTTGGTGAAACTGGATTTCTTCTTCAGGAAATAAAGCAAGGTTCACCTCTCCTTTTGAGGCTTCCCTACTTCCCTGTTCAGATTCTACTGCCCTTTCTTTTTACCAGGGTCTACTGTAGCACGTAGACCTTGTAAAGACTTGCGTTTGCGTCTGTGCTGGACTGTGGACTCCCCAGGAGGTCTGCTGGTTAAAAGGAAAATAATAAATGAAACCCAGGAACTAACATTTACTTATTACCTACTCAGTCACAAGCATATGGAAAAGTTGGGTAATCCCCACAAGAAGTCTACGAAGTAGGTATGATTTGCTCCTGTTTTACAGATGGAGAAACTAAGGCCTGCAAACACTTATGTGCCTGAAAGGTTACTTCATACCGCATGAACTTGTAGATGTTTTGGGATGTTCTATATGTGAACAAGCTCTTTCAAATACAGCATGTACAAAGTACTAAAATGTGGGGTACAGGTTGTTCATAACTGTGCCCAAAGCCCAAAAACAGATGAGCAACTTCATTAAGAAATGCTTCCATGGTGGGCATTGGAAACAGAAGCAAAGAGAGGAAGTCATGCCTTAGAGCTTTCTCTTGAACAGTGTACATTGCTTACACACACACACAGGAAGTTAAAAGGAGTTACATCTGCCAGCAAGGTTTATTTGCTTATTCATATGATATCTATCTTGGAAAAGTTTGATTTAAAAAAAGTCCTAGCATTTGTTAATTCTAAAACCTAACTTCAACGGGGTTTTCTTGTGTCTTTGATTATGGATTAAAAAGTTTTCCAAACTCAACATATACACCAAATGCTTAATATCAGTATATCTATATCAAATGGGCAAGCTGCTAACACCAAATGAATATCAAATGAAAGTTTGAACAATGAAGGCCTCCTGAATTGTACAGAGAAGGGGGGTGAATACCAGGGATCAGTATCTGAAGGACATCTCAGGTCAAGGTCTGAAGGTTCCCAAAAGTTTATGCTTCTAGCTGTTGAAAATATATTCCCCAGTCAAATCTTTGCTGTGGGATGGTCTGTATGTCAAATGTGTTGCTGATTGGTCAATGAATAAATCACTGATTGGCAGTGGCCAGGCAGGAAGTATAGGCGGGACTAACAGAGAAAAAAGTTGAGAGAACAGGAAGCTGGGAGAGAGGAGACACTGCCAGCCGCCATCAGGACAAGGAAGATGTAAAGTACCGGTAAGCCACAAGCCACGTGGCAAGGTATAGATTAATAGAAATGGATTAATTTAAGCTATAAGAACAGTTAACAAGAAGCCTGCCACGGCCATACAGTTTGAAACCAATATAAGTCTCTGTGTTTACTTGGTTGGGTCTGAATGGCTGTGGGACTGGTGGATGAGAGAGATTTGTCCTGACTGTGGGCCAGGTAGGAAAACTCTAACAACAAATGGCGCCCAACGTGGGGCAAGAGTTTCCACCTAAAAACTGAGAAAAAAGATTCTAAAACGGAGCTAAAAACAGTTCCTAATTGTCTCTCTCAAATGAGCGGCAGCTGCCGGTTTGAGCTACTGGCGGGTTGCTGGCGTGCGCGCTCGACCTGCAGTATGGCGGGAATGAGGCCTCTGCAAGTGGCACATTAAGCTACATGGTGGATTTAGCCTTTGCTAGTACAAAACAAAAGAGGTTTCTGGGCTATACGCTGCTTTGATAGAAGCATAGACCCACTATTTCTGAGAGTTGATGGCTCCCAGAGCTGGCAGAAAATGTATCACCACCATTTTGAGAAGCTGAAGTGGGCGGAGCCAGCAGCCACAGCACCAGCGCCGTTTCAGGTTTAGAAGGCTGCAGTTTAAAGCAATAGGCTCAAGCTAATATAAAAAAATAAGCCACGTAAAGATGGCTACCACACAGAGAATCTGGATTATGTTCTCTTTGATATTCGTAACTAAAGAAAAACATTTGATTGTAAAAGCTGTTGAGTTATGCCAAAATGTATATTTTAAAGGTACCTTGACTTCAAAATTTGGATATAAAGATATGTTGCTTTGGAAAGGAGATTCTGCTTTTGTTTCCACAGAAAGTCAGAGGCTATGGATCTGTTCCAGATTAAGACACATCAGGTTTGACCAGCCAAGACCCCCTGAAAGGTCTCCGATGACACCATGGCCCAGATGATCCAACATCCAAAACCGTTTCAAGTCAACTGGCTCAGATGATACAGCCTCACGGACTACTCCATGATCCTAAAATTTTCTTTGTTTCCCCATAAGATACAGCGCCCCCCTCCAGCAGGAAGTAGTAAGAGAAGCTACGCCCAAATTCCCAAATATACCAAGCTGACTTTGGAGATGTGTAAAGGTTAAAACCTTCCTTTTTAAGAAAAGAAAAGGGGAGGTGCTGTGGGATGGTCTGTATGTCAAATGTGTTGCTGATTGGTCAATGAATAAATCACTGATTGGCAGTGGCCAGGCAGGAAGTATAGGCGGGACTAACAGAGAGAAAAGTTGAGAGAACAGGAAGCTGGGAGAGAGGAGACACTGCCAGCCGCCATCAGGACAAGGAAGATGTAAAGTACCGGTAAGCCACAAGCCACGTGGCAAGGTATAGATTAATAGAAATGGATTAATTTAAGCTATAAGAACAGTTAACAAGAAGCCTGCCACGGCCATACAGTTTAAAACCAATATAAGTCTCTGTGTTTACTTGGTTGGGTCTGAATGGCTGTGGGACTGGTAGATGAGAGAGATTTGTCCTGACTGTGGGCCAGACAGGAAAACTCTAACAACAAATCTTTTTTTTTTTTTTCCTGCTAAAAAGCTTAGGATGTCCAACTGCTGAATCCCCACACGGTAGAACTCTACCGCACATGGCTTCGTGTTAAGAAAAAACAGCAGTGAGGCCACTACCCATTCACACTCCTACGAGGCTGCTGCTTACCTCTTGCCTCTGAAAACTTTGGTAACCACACTCTACTGACCCCCTTCTCTGTACAATTCAGGAGGCCTTCATTGTTCAAACTTTCATTTGATATTCATTTGGTGTTAGCAGCTTGCCCATTTGATATAGATATACTAATATTAAGCACTTGGTGTATATGTTGAGTTTGGAAAACTTTTTAATCCATAATCAAAGAGACAAGAAAACCCCGTTGAAGTTAGGTTTTAGAATTAACACTCATTTTGTGTGCCTGTGTGCATGTATGAGTAGGTGTGTTCATTTGTGTGAATGTATGTGTGTATGTACATGTGTATGTAAGAGTCTCAGCATGCATTGTATGAATGTGTGTGTATATGTGCATTGTATGAATATCAGTGTATGTGTTGTTATTTAGTAAACAAAACTGAGGCCGAAAGCCACAATAGAAGTTCAAACAATCAGAAAAAAAAAGCAATGATATTTGATACTAAATTTAGATGCAGTTGCACCATCCTCATAGAATGCAAGTGAGCTGGGAAGACTGACTGGTGCTCACCCAGCTGCCAAGTGTACGTAGAGGTGACATCCTTGACTGTTTCCTGGGTGTTCTGTCCTGTGATGCCACAATTCTGGACCTCAAAAGAAAGAAACAAAACAGAAATTAGCTTCAGGCTTAAGGATTGATGGAAGTATTATATAGTCAC